TTCGACGTTCTCCCCTCTCCCCCCCCCCCGCCTTTGAACTTGGCTGAATCTCAATTTAAGAGGTGGGGGATGTATTTCTTTGATTGTAAATAAATACATATAGTGACCCTGAGCTAATTTTCTTTATTACTAAAGAAAATTTTAAAATTAAGTGTTTGTTGCATGACCTGGGCTTACATTTCTTGCTCATTTTCAGTCTAAATCAGTCTTAGTCTTAGTTCTGCAACTTAATGTTTTACTCTTTAGGAAAGCAATGTCAGAGCCCTGGAAATTTTGTTCACTTTCCATGGATCAGCTTTACTTCCACACAGACAGGCAATTCTCTCCAATTTTCCAGAGACTACTTCACCACATGAATATGCTTTCTTGTTGCCTGAAGCTTGGTAAGGATGCATCAATGGATATTAACTACAAAAAGAAAAAAGATATTTAAGTTATTACTTAAATTATTTTCCATATATGGCAATCTGCTGTTGTTTATTACCTGGAATCAAGAGAGCAGCTTTGTCTTTATGTACTTGACCAGTCTTCATTTTCTGCTTTATTTTGTGCCATTCATAGAAGCTTTTCGGTCTCTTTTGGTTATTATCAGGAATGTAGGGACTTTAAATAGTAATTAGTTTGTAATATCAGCCAGCATTAGGAAATTAATAATACAGGTAGTTAGCTCCCTGAAAGCAATTGCATTTTTCTGGATTTGTTTTGAAATGTAATTTAACAGTTAAGCAGTCAGTAACTTCAAAATCATTAATCTTCTTGTTACTGATTCTTACGCAGCTTGCTAAAGTGTAAAATTATGAAAAGCTTGAAATCCAGACTTTCCTGTTTTTTTCATTTCAGGATTAAATGTTAGTTTACTGTCAATTTCATATAAATTTTTCATAAGAAAATCTTCCTTGAACGTCAGCATAATGTTCTGTGTATTAATTAAAAGAATTTTCTGCTTCTGGAGTGTTTCTTTCAAACACTTCAATTATGCAGTTAGTTTTGAAGCATATTGTTCAGTGCCCATAAAGAATTGGGCAGATTTTATTATTTAATATTTTACAATAGTACTTTGAAGTCTTACTTCAGAGGGATAGTTTTTGGAGTAGCTAATAGATGTGTGTGGGGTGGGTTTTTTTTTTTTTTGGTAGTCTTCCAGCATTATAGTTAAGCTTTTCACTTTGAAGTTTTAGCAGTCCCATTTGGATAATTCTCTATGTAGAAGAGGGTTTTTTAATTCATCAGGTTATTCCCCTGACACTTTTCCTAGCTTATAATACTTACCACTCTTGTCCTTTCTGAGCGGAAGTTAGTCATTATTTCCTGATATGTAATACTTACCAGTGTCCTTTTTATTGTGTTGGTAGTATTAGGAACACATTTAGTTGTATAGTTATAGTCTGAAAACACTTATTTTATCCTCTTCTTTAAGGTAACAGTTAGGACCATGAAGAGAAATTATTGCAGTGTTTTTATAAAATTGGTAAAATATATTCTAGTTTTTATCTTTTGATAAGATTTATATTGTAAGAGGGAGAGAATAAGGGTCTTCTTAAATGTGGTTATGATATTTTGTTGGTGTTCATAAACAGGTTCTCCTTCTTTCTGAAAGGTTGGTTGGTCTTGGTTTGGTTTTTTTTATTTTGTTATTGTGGTTGGTTGGTTTGTTTAAGAAGCTGACTTATGTGCCAAAAGGCAAAATGGCAGTTAAAATAGAACATTTCATTAGTGATTTAGCAGTAAAGATGTGAAGTTATGGGTTAAGAACTTAGTTTTGTCTGCTGTTGAAAAATGGAGGTATATAGTTTGAACCTTTATTCCTGTGGCAGGCAGAACTTTCCAGTGCTAGGATCAGGTATGTGCAGGTTCACACTTTTTTTTTCAGATTGCAGAACAAATAACACTGTATGTCTTTGAAATGTTTGTCTTTGGACAACTACAAAATGAGGATGAGGACAAATACTAAATATATATACAAATCCCATATACTTATAAAAATACACTGTGTATTTGATCCAAACTTTTTCTAAAACTGTTTCCCTGTTACAAAAGTGATTACTCTTATAGTATTGTTAAATACACTTCCTGAAACTCTGCTTTATTAATGTAATAGAGTTAAATATGTATTGATGAAAATATCTATTAATGAGAATAACATACTAATGAAATAGACTTAAGTTGTACAAAGTAACACTTTCTTATTAATTTAATTTTTTTGTTTTTAAAATGGGATGACCCTTTCCCCTAGTCCAAATAGCTTCAGCTTCTGGCAGTTGTTTCATGTGAATCAAAATGAATCCATGTGAATCAGAGAGAATTGAAGTTCTTGGTAATTTTAAGTGAGTTTATTGGGCCTTTTGGTTCTAGCATTTGTTTTTTTAAATGACTTATTAGTATGCATAGAATTACTGGCATTCTGTAGATACGTAGTTGTTATGAAATCCAGTTTAAATGAGTGTGCTATCTAGTTTACTTCTCTACAGGACATGCTATGTAGACATAATTTACCTTGAATTAACTGAACAAGGTTATGATACAACTTACAAAACTGTTTCATTCCCATGTAATATTAAAAAGTTGCAAGTACTGACTGCAGTTAATAAACTTCTGAACAAAAGGAAAACGTTGCAAAAATATAAACCCCAATGTTTTAATTGGTAGAAAAAACATTGGCAGCGTTATGGCTTACTGTCTTTTCAACTTATGCAGCTTGTAATTACAGTGATCTTGGGATAAGGAGTGAGAATGATTCAATCTGTGCTCATGAACTTTGACTTAGACAAATATAAAGGATTCCGAGTCAGGAAATGACAAAATAGGGTGTATGCTGGATATGCTGCAAGTAGAAGGATTTTCTTCTTGCAGCTGCAAGAAAGATCAATTTCTCTTGTGATTTCTTTTAGCTCATTGTTTTTCTGAAAATGCAAGGCCGTAAATGTCTCTACCGAGAGATTCCAGTAGGGTAATTGGTTGCTGTGGTGCATGTGATGAGACCACTAATATGGCCCAACTCCATGACAGTGACCATGTTGAGTGCAGCCTACCCCAGTGGCCTTGCTCAAAACCCACCTTGTTCATGCCTTGTTAATGCCTTTGCTGCCTGGCCTCCTGCAGCTCAGACTTCTTGCTGAGCAGTATGCAGCTCTGGAAGCAGAAAAGATTTTGGTGGAGGGAAAAAACCCTGTAGTTTGTCTTCTAGGTCTTCATATATGGCCCTGTGTGTGTGTAGGATGAAGTACTGCTGGGAATTGACCATATTGTGTCTGTGTACATTAAACACTTTAAACGGTTCGCAGCTGGAGCTCTCTGAGGTGACACCTGTCCTTATGGAAATTCGCCACGTTGCTCTGTGTTCTCTTAGTTCCTCCATCTGTAGGGGGATCTGGCTGAGGCAAAACTTGAGATTGTATAGCAGGTGCTGCCTCGTTTGTGCATGGAACAGTTGAGGTGGGACAAATAGGCACCTCTAGCTATTGGCAAGGCAAAAGCAGTGAAACACAATTGCTTGCTGTACACCACCACCACCATGAATGCACATAGAAGTGCTATATCTGAAGAATTTCTTTACCTATGAGAAATGTTTTCGTAAAGGTTGCATTATAACTGTCATGTCGTTGCATCTGGAGCCTGCAGTTCAGCTGCAGATAGTAAATTCTAAGTACCTAGTGAAAGAAAGGCTTGTTTTGCAAGTGTGTTTTATAGGCATAAAGCAGTTGTTACTGACGCATGTTGTTTACATTAGGATGGCATTTAGAGGCCAATGTCACGAAACTTTTAAGGTCTTATCAGTCAAGGAAGAGTTGCCATAACAAATGGGGAAAAAAGAAAAAATGGTAGAAATTTTTTTTTTTTTTTTTATTTTTCCTATCTTGTGGGCCAGTTTGATAGGAAAGAGATACACGTTTTTTCCCTGTATCTGCTTGTAAAAAGTCTGAACCCTTTTGTTTCTGGTTTTTGGCATGTGTTTTGTAGCTTAGCGTCTTAAGAGGTCACTCTCAGAAGTGTTCAGGAAGAGATTGGTGGTGTCTGAGCAGTGGATTTATGTATTCCTGAGACTCTTGAAAAGGACTGAGTTGTATAAGCTTAACAGCTCCCGGAGTTGAGAAGGAATCTGAAATACTAAGACGCATTGGTGGCTCTACATGCCTGTCGGCTTCGAATTGGTATTGTGATGGACTGACATTACTCAGTAATGTGTTTGCAGAACTGTGATTGTAATGTTTTCCTACTAGTTTTTGCATTGTTTCTCAGCTGCTTTTATAATGATGGCTCCTGAATCTCTGCTGTCTCTTAGTCATTGGGATTCATACTCCTTCTCAAAGATCCATCAGATGCGCAGACTTCATCTGTTAAGACAACTAGAATGAAGGTGGTAAACGTTTAGATATTCAAGGAGATAATAGCTCCTTCTAATCTCTATTTTAATAGCTACAGCTAGCGTTCTTTGTCTATAGTTAAGACGGTTGCCCTCAGGTTTTTAAATGTGGTCTTAGAGGAAAATAATGCTTTACCACCATTATAAATGCATACCCAGAGCATCTTCTCTTTTCTTTTAATTATATTATCCTTTTTACTATATTTAACTACTGTGTTGCAACATTACCACTCACATTTTAAACTCGAAGAAGTTGGGAAATTCAAATGTATGGTTCCCTCAACAGTTGTAAGTCTGCTATATTGCACATTACACTGGTAGTAAAAATCTTCCCTCTAAGATAGCAGCTTTTTATATGTTTCTGCTTTTTTACTCCTTGACTTTCTCAAATATTGGTTTGCAGTCATGGTGTAAAGTGAGTTTTTACTGAGGAGTTGTGGATTAACTGCATTTGCTTCAGGAACTGGGATGGGAGTGGAAATATCTTCTAAAAACTTAGTGAAGCTTTTAAAACCTGAAAAATTCCACATAGTAGACTCTCATCTATGAATAGATGAATACTAAACAAACTGAGAGGTTCATAAGCAGTTAACTTTGCCTTCCCATAATGATGTCTTCTCCTGAACTACGTTTTTAGTTATTGCCTGTGGCATTGAGGTTTTGATAAAACTCTTACAGCTTCATCTCTTCTCTTCTTAGAGTGTGTATGTAAATAGGTTTGATGACTGAACGTCTGCAGAACTGTCTAATATTTAGTCTGCATTTTTGCTTATTAGTTTTTCTTCTCTTCTGAAGCTGAACTGCTTTTGTTTTCAGTGTCCATGGTCAGTTCTTTTTGTTTGTTAGTTTGAATTCATTTGTATAGTGCTACAGTGAAATAAATAAGAAGGGCCTAAGTTTTATATGCACTTCTTTTCCTTTGCACTAAGGGAAAGAATAAAAACAGTTTAGAGATAAAAGGATCAATGTAGTTTAATATTACTGCAAGGATGTGTTTGGGAAAAAAATAAATAAAAAAATCTG